GCCTGTGCTGAGTCTCAATGTCTTTACTACCTGAAGTGAGTATGGGGTCAGATGGACCTCCTTGTTATAAGCTCTTGTGAAGGCTGCTTTCACCTGAAATACAGAGGGAAGTGGTTACCTGAGTGCTGGGCAATTCATTTACATCAGTCAAGCTGAAGTTTTGAGAAACGGAGGAAATCCCTTTAAACTATTTGCAAAACAGTTACATACATAATAGAGATGAAGTCTATTCAGTCTCTCTAGAGACATCTGGTGTCCATGTGTTACTAGAGATCCGGTGTAAGCCTTGTGCACACTAGACAACCCCACCACTGAGCTACATCCCCAGCTCATGGCATTTATTTTTTATGGTTTATTTATTTGAGAATTTTGAGCCCACAGTTCAAAAAAAAAAAAAAATTAAGAGTCAGTGATTAAGCCAGGTGTAGTGGCTCACACCTTTAATCCCAGCACTTGGGAGGCAGAGCCAGGAGGATCTCTGTGAGTTCGAGGCCAGCCTGGTCTACAAAGCCAGATCCAGGACAGGAACAAAAACTACATGGAGAAACCCTGTCTCAAAAAACAAAAACAAAACCAAGTTTAAAAGGAGCTGGAGAGAGACCTTGGCAGTCAGTCCACGTCTGGTATACAGAAGGTTCTAGGCTCGATTTCTAGTTCTGGGAAAGGAACACCAGTCCGTTCATCTTTACTATCAAGAGTACTAAATAACTTTTAGCTTCCAGCTTCAAACAGTCAGCATTCCGACAGTGGATGCCTGCTCTAACAGGAAACTGATGCCGTTAAGTCAACTCTAGAGAGGACAAGTCACGGAGACTGTCTTCTAAAGCTGCATCCCTGAAGGCACGCAGAGGTCACATTCCATCGCTAGTGTTCATGGGAGAGCACCAGTGGAACAAATACCGGGCCAGCAAGTAGACTCAGGAAGGAAGAAGTGGGGCACAGGCCTATCATCCCAGAAGCCTGGAAATAAAGGCAGGAGCATCAGGAGTTCGGGGCCAGTCTGGACTAAACAGGAAAAGGAGGGGGAAAGAGAGGAAAGGGAAGGGAAAAGTAGAAGACAAACTTTATCAAGACCCTCCAGCCCTAACCCCGTTCATGGTTTTCTACCCTACACCACCACCTCACGTTTGCCCCAGGCTCATCCCCTCCCATCAAGAGCACATCTGCATTTGCATCTTACACCTGCCCTCCTGTTTTCCCTCAACTTGAGGTCAAGGTGAAAAATACAAACTGGAGTGTCGGATCCCGCAGTCTTCTCTGAGCACTAGCCTGAAATACCGTCTCTGGAAAGCACAGGCCAAAAAGGCAGCGAAGATTCAGGGAGGCGGAACCAACTGTCCAGAGCAAACAGAACACCCCTCAAGCACTGCTGGACAGCATGCTCATTACCAGCAACTGTGGGCAGTGGGCGGTGCATCTCACCTTGGGATCCAGCCTGGAAAAGGGACTGGGCTGGCCACCCCAGCTGCTAACTTCCATGATATTCTCAAAGTCTTCTCTCATCAAATAGTAGGTGTCCATAAGTGTGACAACATGCTGAACTCCTTCTACCCCTTGTGAGGCCAAGGGTCGCACAAGGGCATCTCTGATGTGTGACAGGTAATCCATGTTCACTGTCCTTTTGCTGGAGTAAGTTCTGAAACAGGACACACATCTTCATTTTTCAATCGTTTCAATGGCACCCCATTACCAACCCCCCACTTTAGATCATCACCACCAGTCAACCAGGCACAGTTCCAAGGCTTTTTTATCTTTTCAACATGTAATTATTTTAAAACATGTAAATTATTTCACAGATCCTTTTAATGAACAGTATTTTGTCCTTAGGGAAACAGCTCTTAGGGCGGCCAGATGGCTCAGTGGGCGTAGGCACTTGCCATGCAAGCCTGATGACCTGAGCTGGACCCCAGGACCTCCAAGGGAAGGAGAGGACCAACTCTATCCTTGGACCTCCACAAGCACTCTAGCATGCAGACGGACACACATCATCAACCGACCAATAGCAGCTCCTTCAACATCTAGCAGAACACTGTATTCAAAATGAGACCCTAAAAACAGACACAGAATTCAAGTCACAGAATCGATGACCTGAAATGTGAAAAGGTTTTGGCCAGGTATGGTGGTGGATGCCTTTGACTCCAGTGCTCTGGAAGAAGAGGCGGGAAGATCTCTCCAGGAATTCAAGGCTGGCCTGGCCTGGTCTACATGGAGAGCTCCAGGCCGGACAGGGTTACATAGATATAAATTTCAATAAGCATTGTAACTTAACCAATAAACCAGAACTTGTAAGTTAGCTATGTGTTCCTATGCATCCACCCTACACTGCCGGTCCAAGTCTAATAATGTTCGGTGGGCCGCCTGCCGTTAACAGGGCACTGGGACATCCAGCACTCCACCCACTCGGCTCCAAGGCAGTTTTCCACGTCTTTGCTCTGACAGCCAAGCAAACACTGGTTCTACTCCATCTGACTCCATCGAACACCCCAACAACTGTGTCTCTGTGCTTAGCCCCACCACAGCCATATGTATCAGCACGTCATTCCCAGTCCCAAACACTAAAGGCATCGGAAAGAGCAGTGAGATTTCCTACATTAGTGCCAGTCCTGCAGGAGTAGGTGTGTGACTCTTAGGTCTGACTCTAACAGACAAGACTGTACATAAACACCTCCTGTGCACTTCCTCATGTCTACACTCTGAGCCTCCCAGGGCAGGGTTTTCCTAAACCCCACAACTGCAGAGCGTGTGCTTGCCAAGCTGGGAATAGTCTATGCCATCCAGAGGAAGCAGGGAAACAGGTTCTGGGCTGCTGAGAACTAGAATGTTATCAGGAATTAACTTTCTGGGCTGGCGTGGTGGCACAACCCTTTAGTCCCAGTACTCCAGAGGCAGAGCCAGGCGAATCTCTGTAAGTTCAAAGCCAGCCTGGTCTACAGAGTGAGTTCCAACCCAGCCAGGGCTATACAGAGACCCTGTCTCAAAAAAACCCAAAAAATAAAGAAATGACTTTTTCCTCTCCCAAATACTGGCAGTCCCTTAAGGTAAAAAACTGAGCAAAATAATATTTGTAATGCCACCATTCTAAGTTTTTACAATTGCCTCTAGCCTGGCAATATCATCCCAGGTACTTCAAGCTGGAGGACCTCAGGCTGGGTGTGGAAGTGACACTGGCAATTCCAGCAAGCCCCAAACAGCCTGGGGGCTCCCCCGTCTCCCATGCCACAGAACAGTCCTCCAGATCTCCCTCACTCTGACGGAGCAGCCTCCGTTTTATAAGGACCTGGGGACGGCACTGTGCCTACCCAGAGAACCCCTCAGGGAGACAGTAACTTCGGGTGGTTTTAATCACTCGGTGTTAGAGCAGCAACAGACAGCTAGGGTGGAACAGGACTCTTGCCATGAGGTCGCACGAGGGAATTTAAGGGAACCGAAACTTCCCAGGCCAGGAACTGCCTCGCCTTTACACAGTGGCCAGGGTGGATCTGGATCCAGCAGTAACAGCCAGGCCAGAAATGGAAATGGGATTCTTCAGCAGCCTTCGTGGGCATAAGCAGATCTTTCACACTGAAAAGCTTATAAACATTAATAAACTGTGACAAACTCGAGTACTTTTGAACTTTAAACATTTCCAAGTGTATTCACCTTCATTATCCGCATGGCAGATAATGACACTCCTGCGTGTGCCAACCTGTGTCCCTATCTCAGTCAGGACTGGGTCAGCTTTCTAGTAAAACAGGTAGAAGCTGTTTCTTCACATTAACTATTCTGAAGAGCAGTGTTATACCACTAAAACAGACATGCTTCCAATAACAAAAAATAGCAGACCTCAGATGGTTTTAAAAAATGTCCCTTAAATCAGGACACAACTGCCATCTGTCTGTTTTTTGTTTTTTTTTTTAAGTTTCATGCTGACATCAGAGGATAGGATTCAGGCCAAATGGCAGGAACTTATCCAGGATCATTTAGCTGATGAGCAATACCGTCAAACCTCAAACTTCAAGCCGTCTTCAAGCGCGTACCATCCTTACGGAGTAGGGCAATGCACCTACCACCAAAATAACAGGGATGCACGAATTCACTTACCTGAGACTCATGTGCAAGGCGAGGTCCTGAACAATCCGATCATGTTTGCCCGTGGAGGAGTACTTCCCCAGCCAGCTTGGGAAGGAGGGAAACTGAGTCATATAGCCCCTCATCAACTCTCCAGGAAGAACACTGGCATAAATGGCCTGGGAGAGGGTAAAATCAAACATAGTCCAGAATTTTTTTTTTTTTTTTTTTTTTTTGGTTTTTTTGAGACAGGGTTTCTCTGTGTAGCTTTGCGCCTTTCCTGGGACTCACTTGGTAGCCCAGGCTGGCCTCGAACTCACAGAGATCCGCCTGGCTCTGCCTCCCGAGTGCTGGGATTAAAGGCGTGCGCCACCACCGCCCGGCCATAGTCCAGAATTTAAATGTGGTCTAAAGTTATTTCTTTAGCAGCTCTCCTCCCCATTGGGAGGTATGAAGAGGTGGAAACTTAACCCAACTCTGAAGGTAGGGTCACTGCAAAGTGATTTGGAATAGGGAAAGTCACTACAATGGAGCTCTCCTAAGTGAATGCCGGATGCTCTATAAGAGAAAGAGAGATCAAGCACACGTCCACCTTCCGCCATGATACACTCTACCACCTCAGCACTCTTTACGCAAGGAGGCCATCACCAGACACAGGCTCCTCATCTCCCAAAACGGTGAGCTCAAGAAACTTTTCTTTACGGTTTACCTAGTTTGTGGTCAGTGCATTATAGCACTCAAAAGTGGACTGGCACAACAGAATAGAGACTGGGCAGAGTTTAGTAAAGTGCTTGCCAGCCCAGCATGAGGACCTGAGTTGGATCCCAACAGCCATGGAAAAGCCAGGCATTATAATGCAGGCTTGTAACCCCAACACTGGAGAGGAGACAAGAGGATCCTGGGGACTCAGGGACCAGCCACTGTAGCCTAATCAAGCTCCAGGCCATCAAGAGACCCCAGCTCTATTACCCGGGGGCTGGAGAGATGGCTCAGTCATTAACACTACTTAGTGCTCTTCCAGAGGACCCTGGTTTAGTTCTTAGTGCCCACACTGGGCTGCCTCTAACACCAGTTCCAGGAAGGTCCAATAGACTTGCCTCCCTGGGTACCGGCACTTGTATGCACGTAGCCACACAGAGACAGACAGACAGACAGTCATCTACTATAGATAGATGGATGGATGGATAAACAGACAGACGGGGGAGCTGGAGAGATGACTCAACAGGTAAGAGCGCTTACTGGCCAGGCATGGTGGCGCACGCCTTTAATCCCAGCACTCAGGAGGCAGAGGCAGGCGGATCTCTGTGAGTTCCAGGACAACCAGGGCTACAAAAAGAAACCCTCTCTTGAAAAGAAAAAAAAAAGTGCTTATTATTCTTCCGAGGACACAAGTTCAGTTCCCAGCACAACTAGTGGTGTGGCTCACAGCCACCTCTAACTCCAGCTCCAGGGGATTCGATGCCCTCTTCTGGCTTGCTTACACACACACACACACACACACACACACACACACACACAGCATACATTTACACAGACAGACAGCTACATGCATGTGTATACACACACACAAGAAAAAAAAACTAAGTATAGCAGTGCACACCTTTAATCCCAGCACTTAGAAGGTAGAAACAGGCAGATCTCTCTGAGTTCAAGGACAGTCTCATCTATAAAGAGAGCTCCAGGCCAACCAAGGCTACACAGTAAGACCCTGCTCAAAACACAACCAAACAAAACAAAACAAACAAAAACCCAGGTAGACAGCACCTGATGACTAATTCCCAAGGTTGGCCTCTGGCCTCCACACAGATGTGCGTGCACACACAGACACCAGTGCACAGAGGTGAAGTGGAGAGAAGAGGAAGGGAATGAAAACAGAGACTGCAATCCACCCTGGTCTAAAACTGTCTCAGGACACCTTGCGGCCTCGACCAGCCAACCTCCATGACCCATCATTTCCCTGATGCCAATACCATAAGGCAGAATCGCTAAGGGGAATGTGGTCATCTTCAGCATAAGCAAGCGAAGGCACAGGGCGATGAGAGTGTGAACTGGCGAGGTGAGAACACACTAAACTGCCACCAGCAAGAGGCAAAGGGGAGGGGTAGTGTGACTTGAGACGTCTTCTCTGGCCAGCGTTTTCAGTTTTCTGAAGGCTTGAATTAAACTTTCCATAAACGTTGTATCCTGTCTTGGTCTAATATTTTCTCACAAGTTTCCCTTAGGTAATCTCTGTGAACCACCCTGGAGCTGGGCACGGGAGCTTCCTGCGATGTTTTCCTACCAAAACTGATGCTTGGAGAACAGTGTGATATAGTGCTGTTTCTGAGCTTAATATTACTTCTTTAAGATAAAATCTCAAATGTACAACCACTAAGGAAAGGAAACTTTTTTGTACCAATTTTATAAAAGTAAACAGATCTGCACTTTTTTGATTTTCAAGCCAATGTATGGGTACAATTGAGAGAAGGTCGGGTGTGGTGATATTCACCTGGAGAGACCAACATAGGGCAGCCACAAGTCTGAGAGCAGCTTGGTTACAGAATGAATCCAGGCTAACCAGAGCACCACAGCTCAGGACTTAAACAACAGAACAGAGAGGGCAGTTTTCTGGAAACCGTGTTTGTTCCTCAGACCAGTGATGCTGCTGAGCAGACAGCAAACTCAGAGCTGCGGGACGCATTAGTGGTAGAGGGCTGCTGTCTTGCACGCACAAGGCTCTGGAATAAGGATGCTTTTAAAGATCAAGTGTATAGTGAATCTGTTTTCACGGCACCTCACATCAACTGACCTCTGCAACAAGGAAGAAGCCTGTGATCCCTGCCCTGGCTGTACTTGTTCTGGGAGGGACTCTGCACCTCCTTCCGAGACGCCACAAACGCACCAAGATTCTGCAGGCAGAACCGCAGATGACACTCCTGATGGCCACCTGTGGCTAGAGCTGACACCTAGACTTCTTATTCCCATTCCTCCGCTACATTAAAACACTTCTGAACAAATAAAGACAACAGCGACCAGAGTATTTTTCTCTAAACAGTCAGTAATTGCCACAAAGACCAGAGACGGCTCAGCAGTTACGGGCACTGGCTGCTCTTCCAGAGGACCTGGTTTGGTTTCCAGCACCCACATGGCAGCTCACAACCATCAGTAACTCCATTTCTAGGGCGCTGGTGTGCTCTTCTGAGCTCCACAGGCACCAGCATGCACCCATGCAGGCAAAACCCTGCACACGTAAAATAAATGTTAACTATGAATACAGGAACCGTGAGAGCCTTCTCCAGCCGAGGCAGGCCCACACTCACCTGTGTGGGCAGAAGACTCCAGTTTTGCTTACTCCGGATCTGACTGTCCACTAAGTCACCGTCACAAATGCTGTCTGCGGCCCGGCTTATGAGCATCAGGTGCTTCTTCATGTCCCCCCTGCGGAGAAGAACCAGTCCGGGTTACACTCTCCCTCCCAGCCGCTCTGCACGCACATGCGTGCGCGGCCTCCGCCGTGCGGGAGGGTCCTAACCTGCCCTCACTGCCTGCCCTCAGTGCTTACCCTGCAGCCACAGGCTTCACATGGAGGTAGTTCTCCTGGACAAAGAGGGGGGCTATGGAATAGTCATGGAAAAAGAGATCCGATTTGTCCATCAGGGACATGTGTGCAGTCTCCTCTCCAGCTGCAAACACTTTCCGGGCAACGTCAAATGGACCCTGCAAAGAAGGGTACATAATGACCGAATGACCCAACCCAATCCTGGGAAAGACATGGAGCACCAGGGCCTTCAGTGCCCGCGGAGGAGAGTGGCAGAGCCTTCAGGGGTCCCAGATGAACAGTTCACAACACCTTCATCATCACTGCCAAAATCTGGGAGGACGAAGATGGCCTTCAATGACCAAATGGGTAAATAAAGTGATACATATCCAGGCCTATTACTCAAAAACTTTAATCAAAAATACAGCCAGGAGGGCTGGAGAGATGGCTCAGAGGTTAAGAGCACTGCTTGTTCTTCCAAAGGTCCTGAGTTCAATTCCCAGCAACCACATGGTGGCTCACAACCATCTGTAATGAGATCTGGTGCCCTCTTCTGGCCTGCAGGGATATGTGCAGGCAGAACACTGTATACAGAATAAATAAATAAATCTTTTTAAAAAAAAAAAAAAATACAGCCAGGAATGGTGGGACACACCTGTAATCCCAGCACTTGAGAGATGGAGTTCAAGGTCAGCCTCAGCTAGACTCTGTCCTACAGCCAGCCCAACTGAGCTCCAGGCCACACAATCTCGAAAGACCAACGAAACAACCAAAAAGGACGGGAAAGGAAAAGAGACATGACGGAGCCTTAAATGTACACAAATGAACTCTCCAGTGCGGAAGAAGTCTTTCTCCAAAGACCATATACTATCTGACTCCCATTGTATGAAACCCAGGAAAAGGCAGAGCTATAGAGATGGAAAAGACTGGTATTGGTGCACGCCTTTAATCCCAGCACTCCCAGGCGGATCTCTGTGAGTTCCAGGCCAGCCTGGGCTACAGAGTGAGTTCCAGGACAGGCACCAAAGCTACACAGAGAAACCCTGTCTCAATAAAACAAAAAAAACTTATCATCACTCTAACGAGCAAAACCGAGCACAGAGGTAAGTGACAGAGACCCCAGCTTTGGAGGTTAAACACCTAATTCCCAGCAGCACAAAACCATGCTGGCCATGAATGCAGGCAGAAAGTGCACTGAAAAAGCCACCCTGCACGATGAAGCCTGGGTCTCCCGTGAAACACCCACTTCTGGAATCTGTAACGACGATGACCACGCTTGAGGAAAAGTGCACTGGCCCGCCGCTGTCTACAGGTCTGACAAGTCCTTGGGCTCACAGGTCCATCAAGGAAGTACGCTGTCCACAAAGACCGTACAAGCAGGACAAGAAACACTTCAGAACTAAGAAGGGAAACACGGTTACCAGTTTGATGTCCTTCTTGGCCCTCTGAGAGTCAGCCTTGGCTTGGTCGTAAGTCAGTGCCTTGCTCTGTGCACACCACATGCTCATATTATGT